ACTTAACAACAACAACAAATATGCATGTGAAAGATGTTCAATAAATAAAGGAAAACCATAGAATTCATGCAATTGAAACATGTTATTGAAGAAGAATATTGAAAGTACCGTGGACTGCCAGAAGAACCAAAAATTATCTGTCTTGGAAAAAGTACACCCAGTATGTTCTTTAGTAGCAAGGACAACGAGACTTTGTATGTCATACTTTGGGCAGTTCCTGAGAAGGTCAACATGCTTGGAAAAGTGGAGGGTCAATGAATCAGAGGAAGTCTTCCAATGAGATGAAGTGACACAGTGGCGGCAATGATGGGCTCAAACCTAACAATTGTGAGGATGGTGTTAAATTGGGCAGTGTTATGTTCTATTGTGCATGGGCTTGGTATGAGTCGGAACCAACCCAATGGCAACTAACAGCAATTTAAAACTGTGATATAAAAAACAATGCATACACTAGGAAATTAGCAATTTAGGGGGAAATGAGCATGTGAGAAAAGTTATCAGATGGAAGTCGCATATGAGCTGAGGGATATGCATGGGGAAAGGCAAAGAGAAAAGCATATCTAACGTAGAAGGCATAAAGCAGCATGCTAGATACAAGTATTTCAAGGGTTTTCTGGATCCTCCTATGGATGCGAAAGCTGGACAGTGAATAAGGAAGATCGTAGAAGAATTGATGCCTTTGAGTTGTGGTGTTGGAGGAGAATACTGAAAGTGCCATGGACTGCCAAAAGAACCAATAGATCTGTTTTGGAAGAAGTGCAACCAGAGTGCTCCTTGGAGGCCAAGATGGCTAGGCTTCGTCTCTCATACTTTGGACACATTGTCCGGAGAGAACAGTCGCTGGAGAAGGATGTCATGCTGGGTAAGGTGGAGGGTCAGAGAAAAAGAAGAAGACCACCAACGAGATGGATCAGCCAGGTGACATCATTGATGGTGTCAAGTGTGGCAGCGGTAGTGAGGTTGGCCCAGGATCGGGCATTGTTCCGTTCTGCTGTGCATGGGGTCGCTATGAGTTGGTTCTGACTCGATGGCACCTGACAACAAAAACAACAACTATGAATCGGGCACCTAAACTCAGGGTCAGCATTTCAAAACCACCAGCTGTTCCGTGGGAGAAAGATGAGGATTTCTACTTTAGTAAAGATTTACAGCTTCAGAAACCCCATACAGGGTCACTATGTGTTGGAACCGACTTGGCAGCACATAACAACAACAATAACTAGGTAGACTAGATTTTGGACACAAATATTCTATACAGAACAATGTCAGCTTTCTTCTCAGTCTTTTCTAATCCAGATCACCTAGGCAATAATGAAGATAGGAACTCGGAGTAAAGAGTGAAGGCTTACGTGATTATTCACTCTTACAGCAGAAACTAAAGCAGTATCTTTGATGTTGGAAATTATTTTTATGAGTACACATACAACAAGAATTCAATATATGTTGTGAGCTCCCCTTTGTTACAAATACAAGCATCTGCTCTCAAAGATTCAATGACAAATATTTTTAGGTATTTAATTATGCATATCAAAATTAGTAAAATATAAAATAACTATTTATAAGCTATGACTGATTAAAACTAATATGTATCAAATCAATTAAGAATGAATTCATCACAAGCTTAGTAAAAAGCATTTCATCAAAGAAATACGACATTATAAAATAGACACTTTAGGGGGAGAGAAAGGAATAGCCAGAAATACCACCATAGAAAGCTTATAAGTCCGTCTTCTGCCTATAACTGATGGGAATACCTAAAATGGGACTACAACGTGCCAAGTGAAGGAGGCTTCCTGCAGAACCTCTGCATTACATAAGACTACAGGTGGAATCCTGAACTGCATCCAGAATCTTCTGAGTTGGAAAATTTCCGCTTGAAAGGACAAGCAGACCAGCCTGGAGAAACTAGAAGAACAAAAGATACTTCTTGAAAGAAAGACCGACTGGAAAAATACAAAACAATATAGGCAGACCAACTGTTACTACAAGAACAAGCAAGTTGCTCACCCAGGAGACATCAAGGCAAGTGGTCCAGTGCCCTCAGGGCAAACCCCATTCCAAGTCTAGGACTCAATGGGAATCCATGCTCTGATTGGTAACCACATTCATCACCAATAAAGGTAAGGGAGGGAAAAACAGCAATGAAGCTGCGAGCGAAGCCCTGCAATATTCAATAGACTCCTGTGAACCCGGGTGGAGACCTGGTTGGCAAGACCTGGGGACTCTTGGGCCCAGAATCAGTGACATAGCCACAGAGGACAAGAGAGGAGAGTGAAGTGTCCACCTGATAAGAAGAGAGGGCATATGCATAAAAGCATCCACACTTGCAGGTAATACCCACTTGACCTGGCTTCAATGGCTGGATGAGCAGAGCTCAACTAGAAGAAGAAAGAAGAAGAAAAAAAGAGTAATCTAATACAATTTGATGAACATGAATGTAGTAGCTCAAAATAGGGAACAAATCATTACAGCAAGGATCATTCCCACTCCCTCCATACACAGAGTAGACAGGGATGGGCAACTTGGACATTGGTTACCCAAAATGGTGGGGGCTACAAAGGCAAGAAGTGACTGGCTTACAAGCTTTCAAGAGGGAACCTAGCTCAAGAGGGTGTAGAGGAAGGTAGAATCTCCACAGTATCCAATCTGTCTAGGCAGGGCTGATGAAAGGAGATGTGGATAGGTCTGTTGAGATACAATAGTGAATAAGTATTATCAGGAGTGATTGTAAGGGTTGGAAATGTAAAGGTAGACATTTTGTATCAAAAGGAGGGGAGTGATTGACTTTACAGTCTAGGAGTGGAGGTCCCTGGGACCATCAAGGGAGAAGAGTGGAGTGTGGGACCCTGCCCAGAGAAGCAGTGTTGCCAGAGATGGAGGCAGAGATGATGACATGGAGAGATGGAGCGCCTGGGGACTTTAGACCCAGAGAGGGAGAGGGGTTATGTGCTGGGAGAGGGGCAGGCTTGCAGGGTATATCTTTTGGATGGTTGATGATGTACTAAGGATGGATTGTAACCATGGCAATGAAATGATATACGATAGGATGAATGTAAAGTTAATGTTCTTCCATGTAAACTATCATATAATTCACAATAAAACATAAAATAACAACAAAAAAGATAAATGAGAGCATTGAATGCCAAACAGGATTTTTCCAAATTCAAAGTAACAGAATCCTCCATAGGTGGGACTGTTGCTCTTGTTAAGTGTCATTGAGTCAGTTCAGATTCATAGTAACCCTATATAGGACTTCTGAGGAGCGTCTGAGTTTGAACCGTTGATCTTGTGGTTCAAACCAACCTTTTGGTTCAGTGTTTATCCTACAGCACCTTACCAGGACTTCATTATATGGAACTAAGACCGTTCAAAAAGGCAAAATTGTATATTAAAATACAAATTGTTGTTAAGGCCCTTGAGTCAATTCCAACTCATAAGGACCCTGTATAGAGTTTCTGAGAAGTGGTTGGGGAGTTTGATCCTTTGACCTTGTGGTTCAAACTGACCTTGCAGTCCAATGCTTATCCTATAGTGCCATACCAGTATTCCTAAACATATAAATCAGAACTGTTCAAATAGAAAAATGTCTTTTCCCTAAGCACAAAAGTAAGTGGCAATGCATTTTTAAAGAGATAATATGAATAAGAAATTAACAGAAGGTATTAGTTATCAAGTGCTGCTATAACAGAAATACAATAAGTGGAAGGCATAAACAGAAATGTATTCTCTCAGTTTAGGAGGCTGGAAGTCCAAATTCAGAGTACCAGCTATGGGGAAAGGTCCTTGCCTCCTCTCAGCATCTCTCCACCCAACATTCCTGGGAGATCTCCATGTGTGTTGACATCAATCGTTCCCTCAATCTAGGAGCATCAGAATGCAGGGACCCCAGGTCCAATGGACACACTGTTCTCCTAGCTCTTCTTGGTGGTAGTGAGCCCCTCTTTCTAAACTCACATCTTTCTCATTTTATCTCATGTAAGATAAAATGTGGGGAGCACAGTGATTCTGTAGGATAAACACTGGACTGCGAATGTCAAGGCCCACGGTTCAAGCCCACCAGTCACTCCTTGAAAGAAAGTTGAAGCTGTCTCCTCCCGCAAAGATTTACAGCCTCAGAAACACTATACAGGGTTTCTAGGCGTCGGAACCAACTCAGTAGCACCTAATAACAAAGATAAAAGGTGCTGCATGCCACACCCTTGGGAATCTACCCTAGATCAGGGTTATGGTGGGATAGTGGTTACGAATCGGGGTGCGAACCGCAAGGTCAGCAGTTTGAAACTACCAGCTGTTCCACAGGAGAAGGATGAGGCTTTCTGCTCCCGTAAAGATTTACAGCCTCAGAAACCTTGTACAGGGTCAATATGGCTCAGAACTGACTCCACAGCACATCACGACCACGGCGACTACAAACATTATAGATGAAACTACAGTCTAAAAGTAAGGGAGTATAATTTAAGTTTTGTATATTGTGATTAGACAATATACAAAAAAGGTTGCCATGGAGTCAGTTCTGACTCACCCCATGTGTTTCACAGAATTATGCTCCATAAGATTTTCAGTGGCTGAGCTGGGGGAAGTAGATTGCCAAGCCTTTCTTTTGAAGTATCCCTGGATGGGCTTGTGCCACCAACCTTACAGTTAGCAGCTCATTACATTAACTGTTTATATGATCCAGGGGGCCAGATAATATACTCCAATGTGATAAAATGAAGTAGGCACAGGAGTGACCAATCACTGAAGAAAATCTATATTCCATTGTGAGGGACCAAGGTGATTCAAAACACCATTTGAAAAATATAAAGGAAAACACACAGGCATCTGTATCTTAAGAGTCTCTAGCAAGCTTTGTTGAACTACAAACAAAGGGCAAGCCAGGATGACAAAGCTGCTAATTTTATGTGCCAATGGGCTTTATTAGGCTTTCAGTACAGTATCTCATATGTCTACGTAGCAACATGCTACTGAAATATAAAAGTATATCTGTACTTTCTTTTTACCTGTAGCACTTTGCCCCATATATGCAGGATGACCTTTTGATTTTGCCTTCTTCAGAACCTTGTGGAGCTGACACAGTCACCTTTGCATGTGAAGTTTCAGGACTGGAGGGGTCAGAACCAGAGTTGGGATGAGATTCTTGGGACTCATCATGGGAAGAGCTTCCTTGGCCACTCAAACGGCTCTCAGAAGAACTCATCGCCTCATCTTTCTTATTTGGTGTTCTTTTAGTGATGATTCTCTGTTCAGAAATTGTATCAAGTTCTTGTATCTGGATTTCACTTCTTTGTGTGTTAGTCTTCAAATTATTCACCTCTGTGTTACTTAATGTGACTGCAGAGTATGACTGTGGCAGTTCCTATAAAACAAGCCAGACACAAATAAACATTTTTTAAAAAAGAAATCTACATAAACTTAATCTCAAGAGTCTGAAACTGCCAAATTCATGCTATGTTGTTGTTGCTGTTCAGTGCCATCGAGTCACTTCCAACTCACAGACACCCTGTATAGAGTTTATGAGGAACAGTTGGTGGGTTTGAACTGACAACATTATGGTTAGCAATCCAGTACTTAATCCTACACCAGGATTCCATTTATATTTATATGCATATTTTAATAAAACTTGATATTTTAAAACATCAAGATTCACAGTTTTCAGTTCTTAAAAGTTATCACTATTTGCTGTTTCTTAATCTTGAAAACATGTTTGAATCATAAGAAAATGAATTTAAAATTGTACCATGCTTCATAATCATGTCAAATATTCAGTGAAAAAGATTAAAAATGAAGTCATAAGAGAACACAATATCTGTTTTCATTGAAAGATAATCCTTCCCCAAAATAATTACTCTTAAATTCACTGTTTCACATGTGTCATGCTTTTAATATGCCCTATTTTTATAATTTCTTACAAGTTACCTACAATGCTTTTTTCCCCACACTCTAAATATAATCATAGAGTCCTGGTGTGGCCCTCTAGGTACTTGTTTTTAGGTGTCACTGATTTGATTTTGACTCATGGTGATCCCATGTGACAGAGTAGAATTGCCCCACAGGGTTTTTTAGGCTGTACTCCTTCTGAAAGCAGATGACTAAGTCTTCTTCCTGTGCAGTCACTGGGAGGGTACGAATCGCCAGCCTTTTGGTTAACAGCTGGGTACTTAACCATATGCCACCAGGACTCCTTAATTTGTACTTAACCAAAATAATAAGGAAAACATCAAGTATTGTGGTAGTGGTTGGTGGTGGTGTGCCATGGATTCGGCTCGGACTCATAGCGACCCTGTACAGGGTTTCCGAGACCGTAAATCTTTACAGCAGCAGAAAGCCTCATCTTTCTCCTGCGGAACAGCTGGAAGTTTTGAACTGATGACCTTGCGGTCACAAACCAATTCCATAACCACTACGCTGCCAGAGTTCCTTAAGTCAAGTATTAGTCTATTAAAAATTACCTCCTGATGTGGCACTGTAGGATAAGCACTGGGCTGCTAACCACAAGGTCGGCAGTTCAAAGCCACTAGCTGATCCTGGGGATCAGAACCAACTTCATGGCACAAGTCCTCCTGGTAACCTTCTCAGGATGTGATGATAGCTTACTAGAGACACATGGATGTCCACTCCACTGAAAATGAAGGAACCATGTTTCTGGCTGCCATCTGGAAACAGTTGGTTTTAGATTTACTTAATATCAAATATGTCAAATTTCTTGAGAAGGTATTATTAGTATGATTTTCCTTTGGACTAAACATTTAAGTTGTTCGATTTTGTTTCTTTATTAAGTTTAAAATGTTTTCCAAACTAATGGCCTTACAAAATGAACCTATGTCTATCACAGTTCTTCTACAGCAATATATTGTTGTTGTTGTTAACTGCTGTTCAAAGTTAATTCATCACAACCGCAACTCATCACAACCCCACATGCACCATGCCTATGATCCACTGAGCATCAAACTCAGGATCCATACGGCTTTTACTGGCTGATTTTCAGAAGCAGATCACCAGATCTTTCTTTTCCATCCTTCTTTGTCTGACAGCTGCACTGAAACCTGTTCAGCTGTGATCAGCAACACACACACCTCCCCTGACAGAGGAGATTGAATCTAGGCCTCCCACATGGAAGGTGAGAATCCAACCACTAAAACAGCAAGCCCTCCTGGTAGTAATCGAAAACATGTAAGAGCTATAGCCACTCTGCTCCCTCTTGCAGCTATCTTCAGCCGGTGGCCACATCCCTGTCAAACACACACTCTTTCTCCCCAGCGGCAGCCATCTCAACTAGATCTCAGTGTCGTAACCTCTTCATTAGAGCATCAAGTGGCACAGGCCACTGAGGTAGGAATAGCGCAACCTAGATCTGCCTCCTCTCATGGAAGTCCCCCACTACTGGATCAGCTCTCAACAGTTTTTCCCTTTTTAAGGTAGTAATGTTCATTAACAGTTAGAAACTACCAGCTGCTCCGCGGGAGAAAGATGAGGCGTTCTTCTCCCATAAAGATTTACAGCCTCGGAAACCCTGTACAGGGTCGCTATGGGTCGGATCCGACTCGATGGCACTTAACAACAACAACAAAAATGTTCATTAAATCCATCGGTTAAGCAGATATCCAACAAAATGCCAGTTTCCTGCTTCTTTTGGAATCTGAAAACCCTACAAGTGATTTTCCTTCAAGCAGAGCTTCTCTTGGTTTTATAAAAGGAGGAAATAAGCTCTCCCACAACTATGAGTATGAATCGACTGCTGGCAATACTTAAAACCTTCTTTTCTCTCAGTTCTTTTGATACAAAGGTACTTCTTAAAACCTTCTTTTCTCTCAGTTCTTTTGATACAAAGGCTGATCGTCTTAACCTAAAGGAAAACATTACATAGTCTATAATTTCCTTTTTAATTCCAATATATCAGTCTGTGTACTTGTATAAATCCTGTATACTTGTATAAAGAAATACACAAGTCAAAGTATCAGTAGGTCAATGGAACTAAAGAATGAGGCAAATCATCAGGATCTTCACTTTATGATCAATAAGGATGTAATATTTTTTTCATTTAAATAACACTCTTTAAATAAAATCTAAGAAATGAGATGCACAGTTCCTATTTCAACTCCTTCTACCTGAAGTATAAAGAAGCGTTTTTAAGATCTTCATAAGGAGTATGTTTAACATGTTAATTTATTCTAAAGATAAAAGAATGATAAGGTTGCAGGTTTCAATACTATGGATCAAAGAGTCTTATATATGCTTTAAAAGGTACAAAACCTGGATTTCAGACTGCTCTTTATGGCACTCCATGAATTAATGACATACAGTAGACCTTGACATTAAAGAATTTAACACTCATCGTTTTAATTATTTATACATGATCTCCAAAATCCGTTACATGCAGTAATTCATAAGCTTGTTGAGGCATCAATTTGTAATGTGCCAATTACAAAACCCATGGACTAGTGCAAGTCACTGGACTGGCTAGTGAAGAAATGAGACCAACAGAGGTGTTCTGTACTTGGGAGAAGGAGGGCAAAGGCAGAGAGTTCTATATTTCATGAGCATCCAAAACTGTATTTCCCAGATTCAATTAAAATGTGAAGAATTAAAATGGAAGGCAGGAGATTCATGAGGGAAATATCAGAATCCCTGCACTATTCATGCCTGCGGCCTCTAGGACTGAAGACCATGGAACTGGAAGAAGACCTTGGTGCTTGGAGGCAACTCAGATAGTCTCTGAACTTCCCCAACAAGCCTTCTCCTGCTATCCAATCATGTGAAGTTCTGATATACTACAAATATCAGGATAAAAATCCTCCTCCTAACACAAGTTTAATAAGGTAAGACCTTCCCACCACTGAACCAGTCCTTGGCAAGAATGTTTCTACTGATAAGGTGTCTTAGAAGTCCTGGTCAATTCTATTAGTATCCATAGGCTAAGGACTAAAAAATCATAAACCTCAACTCCAACTTCACTCCTGAGCTTCAGACTCATGTATTCAACCACAAGACAGACATTTCTTCCTCAGTGTTCTTTGTACCTCAAACTCAAAATGCCAAAACTGAAATGCTATCTCTGTATTTTCTACCAGTTTCCTTCACTATCATTTATCCATTCATCCTTATCAGACCTTAGAAGTCTACTTTTCAATCATTCTTACCCTCATTCTCCCCAGATCCAAGCAACAAGTCCTACAGTTTTGTTTCCTTAGTATTTCTATAATTCAAACCTTAATTCCATCCTTAATGCCACTGCCTTAGGTCGAGTTCTCTTTCTTGATAGGCCAAAGCCATAACCTCCTCCCTCATTTTCTGTAAGCCAGGGATATTATCAATCTATTCTCAAGGGTTTTCTAGGAATTAAAAGAAGAAAGATCGCTATTAATGCAGGGTCTAACCCATAATCACAACTCAATAAATGGTTGCTATTATTTGTGTTTAGTTGTTGTTAAGAGCATTAATATTTTCACTATAGCTATTGTTGTTGTTGTTATTAAGTGCCGTCAAGTTGGCTCCAACCTATAGCAACCCTGTATAGGATTTCCGAGGAGCAGATGGTGAGCCTGTACCACTGACCTTGCAGTTCAAACGACTTTGCAGTCTGGCGCATTAACCCACAATGCCACACTAGGACTCTATATTAGTATTTGTTTAATCAATGCTTGTTGAATATATTAATAAAAAGAATGAATAAAAAGATACTTCTGTGGGACTGCTCAGAGTTATGCTTTGTTGTTGTTGTTGGGTGCTGTCGAGTCAGTTCTGACTCATAGCGATCCAATGTGACAGACTAGACCTGCCCATAAGATTTCCTAGACTATAGGAGTCCTGGTGTGGCGCTGTGGGTTAATGCGCCAGACTGAAAAGCCATTTGAACTGCAAGGTTGGTGGTTCAAATTCACCATCCGCTCCTTAGAAACCCAATCCAGGGTCGCTATGGGTTGGAACCGACTAGATGGCACTTAACAACAACAACATGTGTGGATTAGCACTGGACTGCAAACCACAAAGTGAACAGTTTAAATGCTCCTCAGAAACCTTATACAGAGTCGAGGGTTGCAATGGATTAGAACCAACTCGATGGCACTTATCAATGTTTACAGGAGCAGATCACCAGGTCTTTTCTCCCGCAGAGCTCCTGGTTAGCAGTCAAATGCTGAACCAATACACCAAACCCACTGCCATTAAGTTGATTTCAACTCATAGCAAACCTGTAGGGTAAAGTATAAATGTCCACTAGGGTTCTGAAGACTGTAATCTTTGTGGAAGCAGAGTGCCCCACCTTACTCCTATAGAGTGGCTATTGGGTTTGAAGTGTTGCTTAAGAGTGTAGCCACTGCACTACCAGAGCTCTCTAGCTGTGCTATGTGTTGTTGTGTAGTGCCATCGAGTCAGTTCTGACTCATAGCAACCTTCTATAGGGTTTCCAAGGAGTGGCTGGTGGATTTGAACCTCCAAATTCATGACTAGTAGTCCAGTGCTGATCCTACAGCACCACACAAATGGTCCTAAATCCAAATGGCCAAAGAGGAGGAAAAGACATAAAACCCTTTGTGGTAAACCAATACTGAGGAGCTCCGGAGATCCAGTCCTACTTAGGAGACCACTGTGTAAACAGACACATAGTTTTTATCACTGCCCCTTTGTCTATGAAGAAATGATGTGCAGGACCCTAGAGCAGGCAAATATATGCAGAGAAATGCTCTATTTAAGAGCCAGCTTATTCACTTCCACAATCATCACAGCAGGCAAGGAGCATGGACAACATGCTAGAGGCAGTATAAGCAGAAACTGTCAAAACATCCATGTTCTTATGCTCTAAATGGCAAGGTTCAGGTTTGCTTCCAAACGGTATAAGGAACTAGTGGACCTCCTGCTGTAGCCCTGATTTTCACCTCTCCTGTGAGCCACACTTCCCTTCCTAATTGTCTAGTAGATACCACTGTCATCTCAAACCAAGGACTTTGCCCAACTGCCAAGCTTACTGCTTGTCCTGTTTTCCGAGAACCTCAACACTCAAAAACATTGCCAATTCCATCTCCTCAACATTCTGTTATTCATCAGGTTCTGTCAACTGTTATCTCCCAAACGTCTCTCATATCTCTCCAGTTTTTTCTTGAACCACTATACCCATACTAGTTTCAGGCCTTTGTGTCCTGTGGTGTCCTATGACAACCTCTTATATCTTGTTACTACCGCCAGTCTTCTCTCAAATCATTTCAAAAAGCCTCTGAGGCCCATAAAATATAGTTCTAATTCTTGGTCTTTTCAGAGACCACAGTGATATGTTCAGCAGCTTCCGTGTTCAGTGGTTTCCTCCTTATAAAGCCCATCCATACTCACACACATCCTTGCGTACATGCACATGACACCAGCAGAGAGGATTTTCTGCTGCAGTGCTCACAACACCAGTACTTCTCACTGACCCCACTTGTTAACATGCCAACCCCTCTTTCAACACCTATAAAAACACCCTTCAAAAGAAATTAAATTAGCATCGTTCCCTGAACACTGTCCACATGGACACCTTCTGAAAAAGTGTGTAAGTGTAATATGAGCAGACAAATCAAGATATCCAGTGTGCTCAAGACTATGAAGAAACCTTTCAAAACAGTATCTCCTGACCAGCTTTCAGGAATAACTTATTTTCTGGCAATGTCTCAAAGATCCCATAGAACATCTGGATCTTCTAATATTTTAATAAAAACTCTTTTATTTCAATAAAAATATATGTTATAAATTTTGCTACTTTAACTATTTTTAAGTGTATATTTCAGTGGCATTAATTACATTCACATCATGCAACCTTTCCCACTATCTATTTTATCAATGAAAAACTTTTTCATTGGCTCAAGCAAAAATTGTAGCCATTAAACAACTATACTCCATTTCTCCCAGCCCCTGGAAAACTCTATCCTCTGACCACAAACTTATCTATTGTAGATATTTCATATGTTAAGTCATATAATAATTATCCTTTTCTATGTATCTGGCTTATTTCAGTTTAACTCCATTTACATAGGTTTCCCTGATGTCATTTTGAAACTTATTTCTCAATGTTCATTCTTGTTGTGGTGGTTAGGTGCCATTGAGTAGGTATAGACTCATAGCAACCTTAGGCACAACAACAGAACACTGTCCAGCGCTGAGCCTACCTCACATCACTGTTACGAATGAGTCCAGGGCTGCTGCCACAGAGCCAAGCCTTCTCTCTTAGGTCTCTCACTCTTTCCGTTGACCCTCTGCTTAGCCTCAAGGGATTGTTCCCTCCTGATACAAAGTCTGAAACACGAGACAAAAAGTCTCCCCATTCCGGCTTCTGAGAAGCATTCTGGCAGTCCATGGTACTTTTAATATTCTTCTCCAACACTCAAAAGCATCAGTTCTTCCTTATTCACTGTCCAACGTTCTCATGCATATGAGGTTATTGAAAATACCATGGTTTGGGTCAGGTGAACCTTAGTCCTCAAGCTGACATCTTTCTTCGTGAATACGTTTGACTTCTACACTGTGGTTTCCATTAGTGTTGATAGTAGATCCAAGCAAAATGAAGTCTTTAACTTCAATCTTTTCTCCATTTATCATGATATTATTTATAGGTCCAATGGTAAAAAATTTTGCTTTCTTTATATTGAGATCCAACCTACTCTGAAAGCTGTGGTCTGTGATCATCACCAGTAAGTATTTGCACTCCTCATTGCTTTTAGCATGCAAGGTTGTATCATCTGCCTATCAGAGGTTGTTAATGAGTCTTACTCCAATCCTGATGTCACATTCTTCTTCAGATAATCCAGTTTCTTATTTGGTCAGCATACAGACTGAGTAAGTATGGTGAAAGAACATAATCCTAGTGCACACCTTTCCTGAATTCAAATCATTCAGTGTCTTCTTGTTCTATTCTAAGGGCTGCTTCTTTGGTCTATGTACAGATTCCTGATGAGCACAATTGTGTGTTCCAGAATACTCATTCTCCACAATGTTGTACACAGCTTGTCATGATCAACACAGTGAAAGCCATTGCAAAGGAAATAAATCACAGGCGAACATCTTTCTGGTATTCTCTGCTTCAGCCAAGATCCATCTGATATCAGCAATAATACACCTTATCTCACATCCTTGTCTGAATCTGGCTTGAATCTCTGGCAGTTTACAGTCAATGTAAAGTTACCTGTAGCAAAAAATTACTTGTATGTGATATTAGTTATATTGTCCAATGATTGCCACATTCCACTGGGTAACCTCTCTTTGGAATGTACACAAATATGGATCTCTTCCCATCAAAAGTTCAGATAGCTCTTTTCCAAATCTGTTGACAGAGATGAGTGAGTACCGCCAGTGCTGAATCAGTTTGTTGAAAACCTTTAGTTTGTATCCCATCAATTCCAGGAGCCTTGTTCTTTGCTAATGCATTCAGTGCACCTTGGACATCTTCCTTCAGTACCATGGGCTCTTGATCATATGTGACCTCCTGAAATAGTTACACACAGATCATTTCATTTTGGTATAATAATTCTGTTTATTCCTTCCATCTTCTTTTGATGCTTTCTGAATCATTCAATATTTTGCCTATAGAATCCTTCAGTACTACAAGTTGAGGCATGCATTTTCCCCTCAGTTCTTTCAGTTTGAGAAATGTTGAGCATGTTCTTCCCTTTTGGTTCTAACTCCAGGTCTTTGCACATTTCATTACAATACTTAACTTTGTCTTCTCTATCTGCCGTTTGAAATTTCATGTTCAGTTCTTTTAGCTCTTTATTTCTTCCATTTGCTTTAGTATCTCTAGGCAAGAGAGCAAGTTTCAGAGTCTCTTCTGACATCCATCTTGGTCTTTTATTATTTCTTTACCTCAAATGGTCTTTTCCTTTCCTGTATGATGTTCTTGATGTCATGACCAAACTCTTCTGGTCTTCTGTCACTAGGGTCTAATGCATCTAATCTCTTTTCGAGATGATCTATAAAGTCAGGTGGGATATATTCAATGTCACATTTTGGCTCTCATGGATTTGTTTTACTTTTCTGCCATGGTCCGTAAGGATCCTTCAGACTATTACTTTCAGAAGACAGAGAAGTCTCGAGAAGAATACCTGAAGAAGGACCTTTCTCCTCTGGGACCAGAGGTGAGGTGGGTGCAGGACAACTAGAGTACCACCTTTACATTTCTCTCCCTGTCTTGTGAAACGCCCCCAAAATAAGACTTTTTGTTTGGTTTAAGTACTCAGTACTGAAGAATGTATAATTTGCCAAGTCATTCTGGTGAATTAGCAAAAATGGAAAGAGGAAAGAGGAGGCCTATAAATCCTAAAGTGAGTTCTAAAGTGATCGCACAAGAGGCTCTTAAGAATGATCTCTCATCTGTTCTTCTCTTTATACTTAGCAAGGAAAAGTCTGAGAATGACAGTGGGATAGAAGAAACCAAAGTTCCCAATAAGACAGAGGGAATGAAATAAGAACAGAGGCATCAAATTGTGACCACAGTCAAATGGCTTCCTTTTTTTTTTTCAGTATGAACACTCTAAATTAAATAACTCTCTTACAAGACAAGGTAGTATGTAAAGATTAGTTTCAGCAAACCAAAACATTTGGGGCTAGTTTACACCTTTATAAACTCAATAATAAAAACTAGCTTGGGTTTCTCCTGGTTTTATATAGTATATAATTCATTCCTATGTAGATCACCTGACAAAGGAATGAAACAATCAAATAATGAATTTTTAAAACTCACCTTGGATGAAATAATTGACTCCTTTGGATCAGCCTTTTTGCATTTTTTTCCAGGGTCTTGCTCTGCTGATATACTTTCTGATGAAATTAATCGCTTTCTTGGTTGTCTTGTTATGTTTATTTGTGTTTTATCTTTGCAGATTATTTCTCCACTTCCCTGGATTACATCATTATCTTAAACATGCGCAACAGACACACAAAGAATAGGAAGAAAATTATCTCCTGAGTGCATACCAAAAATTTTTAAAAGGGAAACAGAATAAGTAAAACTAAACTTCTATTTACATTATTACCAACTTGAAAACATTTATTTGTAAATCTCACAAGTACTAGTACAGTGGCCAAGAGTTCCAGTACTGGAGTTAACCAGGCCAAGAACCCAATGGCGGTGCCATCCCTTAAATGGTTCATGGCACCTCTGAGATTTGGTTTCCTTATCTGGAAAATGAAATTTAAGAGAAAATTCATGGGATTATGAGGAGAAGCGAATGAGGTAAACTATATAAACTATCTAGCAGAGAATCTTGTATAGTTCATCATTTAAGTGCTGTCTCCAGCTGCTTTTGGAGTACTGGCATAGAACTGTGGGCTAATGCGCCAGATTGCAGTCATTTGAACTGCAAAGTCGGTGGTTCAAGCTCACCAGCTGCTCCTTGGAAACCCTATACACGGTCACTTGGGTTGGAATCGACTCGAGGGCACTTAACAACAACAATAACTGCTTTCATACATACAAAGGCAGAGTTGGGCAGTTGTGAGCCACACTATCTGGACTACAAACTCGAAGATACTTACTGTCTGGGTCTTTACAAAACAAGTTTGCTAACCCCTGATCTGAAGGATATCCAAATGACTAGACATAACACTTGTTCTTTATGTTTAAGAAACGCATACTAATAGCATACTGTCTATCTTATCAAACAGGAAAGTCAACTGAAACATAATCAAAATAATAGATTTATCTCTAGAAACTTATGAATAAACTATTCCATTTAAAATATTTAAATATTCATTATGAATTGAAATTGTTTAACATATCATATTATTTTAGTAAATGTCACAAATAGGACCAAATACAACTAAACAGCTTGGTGCAGCAAATTACCAGCTGTGGCACTGTGGGTTAATGCAAGGTCGACAGTTTAAGCTTACCAGCTACTCCTTGGAAACCCTATACAGGGTCACTACGAACTGTAACTGACTTGACTGCAAGTAGTAACAACAAAACAACAGTTGTGTATTTGTCAAACCAAGAAAAAGTAATAAACTACTGGTATCGCTTACTATGCTGCCAGCTGGTTGCTGTGTGCCATCAAGTCAGTTCTGACTCATAGAGATCCTGTATATGGTTTTGAGGCTATAAACCTCTATGGAAGCATAAAGCCTTATTTTTCTCCCAAGGAGCACCTGATGGACTTGAACTGCTGGCCTTGCAGTTAGCAGTACAATGTGAAACCTACCACACTATCAGGTCTCCTTCTTGTTGTGCTAAGAACAATAAAATATAAACTAATTATAACATGGCTTCTGCCATAATAGTCATTTACTATACCCTAAATTTCAAGCAGTACATACATAAAACGCAACTTATTTATACATACTGTTACAAACACACAAGCCTATAACAAATCCTGGTAGCACCACAGTTAAATATCTCAGCTGCTAACTGAAAGATCGTCAGTTGAAACCCATCAGCTGTTCCCCAGGGAGAAGGTGTGGCAGTTCGCTCTATAAAGACTGGGACCCTGCAGAGCAGTTCTGCTCAGCTCTACAATGCTACTAATTCAACTAGACAATAGTGGGTTTCATTTTAATGGCTTTTATATATACAGAAATAGATATAAACACACATGTATACATATTTAAATATTATGTTTACATATTTGAAATTAGTCCTGATGTGGCACTGTGGGTTAATACGCTGGACTGCAAAATCGGTTTGATCAGTAAGGTGAGCGGCTCAAGATCACCAGCTGCTCCACGGAAACCTTATATAGGGTCGCTATGGGTAGGAACCAAATCAACGACACTTAACAACAACAGCAACAACATATTTGAAATATTCAATTCTTCAAAATGTTATGTCTTTACTACAAATAGTCCTTCTAGGAACAAGAACTAATTTATTTTTGAATAGAAAAGAAGTCATTTTGACATTGTTATTAATTAAATTGTTGTTACATAAAGCATACAAAATAAGTGCCTTAATTGGCTCACAATCTCCCTATGTGGTATATCTAATATTTTTCTAAATCTAAGGGAAGCACAGTTAAATGATGGAAATATAAAATTAATTAGCCAGTGAATATATCAGTTTTATTTTTAAATATTATTAACTGCACTTACTTACATAAGTAGTTACACTAATTCTATAACTTAGTCATATGCCTTTTATGCCAATAAAAATATATCCAACTGTGATAATGAAGGTGTGGGGTCAGCTTGCCTGGGCCAGGAGTCTCACCAGTTTGGCAGCTGAGACACAGTCATCCCAACCACTTATTGGTCAGTTAGTTGTACTGTAGTAGCTTGTATGTTGCTGTGATGCTGAAAGCTGTGCCACTGGTATTTTAAATACCAGCAAGGTCACCCATGGTGATCAGGTTTCAAAGGAGCTTCCAGACTATGACAGACAGGGAGGAAGGAGAGGCAGACTATTTGAGTGTTTAGCCATGGAAAACCTATGAATAGCAGTGTAACATTGTTACACACAGAGATGAAAGATGAAAACATGACTAACACCAGAAAATCATCATATTTTGTGCTTAAAGATGAACCCCTCAGGTTGGAAGCCACTCTGAATGCGACTGGAAAAGTGCTGCCTCCTCAAACTAGAGTTGACTATGACTTGAATGGAGTAAAATGTTTGAGGTTTTCTGATTTCATTTGCTGGGGCACAACTCAAAATGAGGAGAAACAGTTGCAAATATACATTAATAATCAGAAAATGAGTACAAGAAGAACGAATCAAGGAAAATGAGAAGTCAAAATGAAATACAATGCATAAAGATCTCTATCCTATGCATTAGTGAGTTAAAATGGGCCGATTTTGGCCATTTTGAATCAGACAATCATATGGTTCACTAAACAGGGAACAACAAATTGAAGAGGAATGGCGTCACACTCATCATTAAAAATAACATTTCAAGATTTATCTGTAAGTACAATGCTGTCTGTGGCAGGATAATATCCACACACAAGGAATAACAATTAACACCAGTATTATTCATATTTATACACCAAGCACCAAAGCTAGTGATGATGAAACTGAGGGAATCTATCAACTCCCTCAGTCTGAAATTGATGAACTATTCAATCAAGATGTATTGATAATTACTGGCGATTGAAATGCAACAATTGGAAACAAAAAAGGATCAGAAATTGGAAAATATGGCCTGGGTAATAGAAATGATACGGAGATCATGACAGAATTTTGTAAGACCAATGACTTCTTCACTACAAATAGCTCTTTCAAACAACATAAAAGATGGCTAGACACATGAACCTCACCAGATGGCATACACAGAAATCAGACTGACTATATCTGCAGGAAGAGATGGTAGAAAAGCTCCATATTATCAGCCAAAACAAGGTCATGGACAGTCTGTAGAACAGACCATCATCCAACAGCTCATATGAAAGCTCAGGCTGAAGCTGAAAAAAATTAAAACAAGTCCACAAGAGTCAAAATATGACTTTGAACATATTCCACCGGAATTTAGAGAGCATCTCAAGAACATCATACAAGAAGATGGCAAAATGTTGATAAAAAGATAGGAAACAAAGAAAAGATCAAAATGAGTATCAGAAGAGACTCTGAAATTTGCTTTCCATTTTAAACATTCTAAAGCAAATAAAAGAAATGTGGAATTCAGAGAGCAGCTCAAGAAGACAAAGTAAAGTATTTTAATGAAATGTGAAAAGACCTAGAGTTAGCAAACCAAAAGGTATGAATACCCTCATCATTTCTCAAGCTGAAAGAACTGAAGAAAACATTCAAGACTCAACATGCAATATTGAAGAATTCCACTCATCTGTCAGTTTGTCCTACTGTGGTGGCTTGTGAGTTGCTATGACTAGGAAGAATGAGTAACGAACTACTTCCCACTAGGAAGAATGAGTAACAAACTACTTCCGGATATTGAGTCACTGAAAACCTTATGAATAGAAGAGAAACACTGTCAGATATAGTGCTGGAAAATGAGCTCTCAAGTTGGAAGCACTCAAAATGCAACTGGGGAAGAGCTGCCTCCTCAAAGTAGAGTTGACCATGATGATGTGAATGAAGTAAAGCACATGGGAGTAAAGACCTCTG